CTCTGGAGTGCGATAATTGGCTTGGCAACTCGCGAGTATTCTGGGACGAATTGCCGATAGAATCCTGTGAAGCCTAGGAACGACTTCACACCAGTAACGGTGGTGGGTCGGACCCAGTTGCGGAGGGCTTCTACCTTGTCAGGATCTACCTCTAGTCCTTTATTAGTGAGGATATACCCCAAGTACTTTGTCCGAGTGACATGGAATTCACTCTTCTTGATGTCGACTTGGAGTCCTGCTTGCCGTAGCCTTTCTAGTACCTTGCGCACATGTCGGATGTGTTCCGCCTCCGACTCGGAGTAGATAAGGATATCGTCCAGGTAGGCGATGCAGAAGTTGTCCAGGTAATCAATCAGCACATCGTTCATGTATCGCTGATAGGTTGCCGGACCGTTGCATAGCCCGAAGGGCAATACCTTGGTCTTGTACGTTCCGTAACGTGTACGGAATGTAGTGTACTCCTCAGAGTCGGGGTCCATCCGGATCTTGTTGAAGGCCGCGCGTATATCAAGCTTGGTGAAGATCTTGGCCTTGTGGGGACGAGCAAGTAGCTCATCGATACGCGGGATGGGATACGCATCCTTGCGTGTGATAGAATTGAGCTTGCGGTAATCCATACAGATGCGTAGGTCTCCGTTTGGCTTCCGAACACAAAGGACTGGTGACGCGAAAGAGCTGTGGCTTGGGGAAAAGTATCCCTTCTGAAGGTTCTCTATGACGAACGCCTTAGTCGCTTGGAGCTCTTCGGTGCTCTGCTTGTACAGGGGACAGAACTGATTCGGCAGAGGTTCGGTGAGAACGATCTTGTGGTCGTACGGGCGGTGTTCAGGTAGCTGATTAGCGGCAGTCTTGCTGAACACGTCTCGGTACGAGTAGTAGACGGATGGGAGTCGGTCCTGAACTAACTTAGCATTTTCAGGATCATCCTTTAGTCGTCTCTCTTCTAGGATACGATCGATCTTATAGATGCTTGTCGTGAAGAACTCGTTTTCCTTGCGTTTCATGGTGTAGTGGAAGGCGTTGGCAGAGATAAGTGAGATACGGGGTGAAGGAGGGGAAGAGGGTGCAGGTCGGATAGGTTTCGGAGCAGGGTCGGGTGCTGGAGGTAGAGAACGGGCTTTGGGGAGTCGAAGAAGGCCACGGATCCGTTGAATACTGGCCGTGGTTGGACTGTTTCTTCTCCGATAGTCGTCCTTCTCCCAGAGAGCGTTGCGTCTCTCGATATCCTTCGCAACCTCGGTGTCAACAGCTGGTTGTTTTAACTGCACTAGGATAGGTGGGGCAGGATCATAAGTTGCTGGGTACTTGGCTGGCCATACGATTCGGTTCCGAATCGTATCTAATTGAAGCTGGAATCGGCGCAGCCACTTAATACCAATGATACAATCCTGTGATCCTAAATCTATAATAACGAATAGGCAGTTATAGATCTTGCGGCCATCAATAGAGAGGTGCAACCGGATGTATTGGTTAACCCTTATCTGAACCTGATCTTGAAATCCTTTAACTGTAATCTTGAAGGGCAGTCTTCGGATAGGAACCTGAAGCGAACTAGAGATTATACGAGCAATTGCAGAATTTAAAAATAAGAAACCTTAGGCGCCAGTGTCAACTAGTAACTGTAGGCTAACACCATAGCCCTTCGAACAAAGAACGGTGGGAACTCAGAAGTGCTTTCCTCTAAACAAGTGTGACAGATTAATCTTAGCAAGGTCATACTTATGAATGCCTAGGGCGGAGCGTTTTCCTAGGCTTCGTTGTTTCCCGACCGGTCCTCATCCGACTGGTATTCTGCGGCTTCCTCGAACACATCTTCCTCTTGAATAGCTTCTATCTCTCTTACCTGAGGGACTGTGCAGTCGCTCGCAAAGTGTCCGGGCTTGCCGCAGTGGTAGCAGTTGCCAGGAGTAGCTTAGCGTTCTGGTACTAGTGTCTTAGAGGCAGGCCTGAGCACACTCGAGGAAGCCCGAGGTGGGGTCGGAGCAGGGTCGGACCTTACTTCGTGCGTGGGTAGGCGATACTCCCTTGTCTGATAGGTAGCTGACTTGGGCTTCGCAGTCGAAGTGTAGGTGGTCCGTCGCTCCGATTATGCTACGATAGGAGCTGATCGTCGTTCTAATTCGAAAGCAGTGAGATGTTTACACATCTCATCAAAGGAGCTGTCAAAGAAACGCTTAACAGCCATGTTAGGAACTCGCAGAGCTGGGCTAATCTTCTGCTAGAGATAGAAGGGCCACTCCGGTTCCGATACATGTCCTTTAATAGCGAGACTAATAAAACGAGCTTTGAACTCTAGAAAACGGCTCTCTATCTTTCATAAGCAGATTGTGGAAAGCGGCTCGGCTCTCCGCCTGCTCATTGCC